TCATAAACTGAGTTGCATTGCACGCAATAGCGCAACACGACATTTCCTCCATAACATTTTATTGGACTGCACAAAGAAATTAGGTTATTTTTTATAATGTTTTTTGTTTCGTAAGGTTTATTGTGTGATCAGTAAATGTCAGCAATATTAACCTTAGAACTAAGTCCAAACTCATAGTACCAAGATTTCGTTTAACTAAAGCAAACGATGCTTTTATGGGAAACTATATACGTTTTTACAATAAGATTCGAATAAGAAGAAAAGTCATATAATAAAATTGAAGACTACGTATTAGTACGTACTACGTATAAGATGTATGAAAAGACGGCATAACTCTAGATTCCACTCAAATGTATTCCACAGCATTTAAGTTTGTTTAAAAAGAGCAATCCCTAGAGTTTCTTGTTTGTACTTCTCAGGGACACAGCAGTCAGTGAATGAACAATGCCCTAAAGATGACGTTTTCAAGTACAAATTGATTTTGCCTATGGCATAAATGATTGTTTGATTTTAACTCAGTTATTAAATGAGGGCCTTATTTATATAGATTTAAAATAAGTATTTGCTTATACAGGTTTGTTTGGAGGTGACACAAATTTTAATGTATAATTGTATTCATGGAAACGAATTTCAGAAAACTATTATGGAGTTATCGTTCAATTAACCATGCGCAATTTATACGGGAAATTAAATATATTTTTAACGAGTTTTAAATGATTGTTTATGCGAAAGTTGAACCCCAGACGCAATAAGAGGGTTTCTTGTTTTTTTTTTATTATTAAAAAATAAGTGCGCATTGGACTTCAGTGGCAAATACCATAACAGAATTTTGGTTCAGCACACAGTGTAATGAAATTATAATTGACAGACTGAAGCACAGTACAGAAAAATACTATATAATAATATTGTTCATATAGTTTTTGAGTTTATTATTAGATTATACAGCTCGCAATCACACGTAAAAGTTACGCGGAAAAAAAATAATTTGTTTATGTAGTTTGTTAAGTGTTTATATTACTTCATTTCGCAATTTGGTCTAAAAAAATAGTAGCTTTAGTCACTTGCATTTTTTTAACCTATTGCATAAATCCTTATAAATAAACCCAAACTCTTGCGTCAAACATGAATTTTAAGCACAAAATCGCTTAACAGAACATTAACCTTAATAACAGCCATAGTAAACAAAAACTGCATACAATATTCAAGTAACTTGCATAACAAATAAAACAAGTCCAGTAACTAGTAATTAAAAAACTTTAACCAAAGGGAAAGGCCGTTAAACCCAAAGTTATAATTATTCGATATGATTCAGACATAACTTGTGTTGTTTCGAATAAATTATCATACACGGGCTTTTCTCTTGTCAATTGCAAATTTCGATGCGGTGGTAGCAACGCTCGAGTGACCGGCACTGGAGCAAGGGGAATAGTGATGTGCTGCGTTTTGTCGATAGTATCTTATCGACGTTGAAAACAGTCTCCTGTTCTTCTGCGGTCACGGTCCGGTGGCGTATTGCTTTAGCTGCGATTCGGAACTAGTGGTGGGATTTGTATTTTCATAGACTTCTTCCAATCGCTTAGGATCGTAACTCAATCTCATCTTGCCAACCATTTGCCTCCATCGATTGCACTCAGTCGCATGGTGTAGTGCGGCGCTAACAGGTAGCTCCAATTGTTAGTTGTTGTTGTAGGAGACCTGATCCTACCACCTTTTGGGACTCCTGTCTCTAGGTCTCCTTCCCTCCCCTCTCCCTGTCACAATCAAACGCTCTACGTAACACGCGACCAAAATAGCGTATCACACGCTGCAAATTGGAGACAGACACTGTGTATTCTTTGTCTCGAGTTCCTCAAGTACAGAGACATTACATATGACATACGAGTATATATAGGAGTTAATTCATGTACAATATCATAGACAATTGAACCATTATGACCTTTCACACGTGAAAATATCGGTAGAATATTAAGTCAAGTCACTGTTATATTAAAGAACAAATCACAAGCTGAAAATAGCAAAAGTCTGAAATAGGCAAACTTCGCTCAGTGATACAGCTTTGTACTTTTTGCAGGAGAAACCCTGGGTCTCTGGAGGCCACAGGCGAAACTTCTAGCGAACAAGCTATCGGATAGATTTAAATTTTAATAATAAGTTTTGTCTAGTATTATATTTTTCTTTATATAAATAACTTAAACAAATCACTTGTTAATCGAAATTGGATTACCTAACATTACTACGCCTTAGTACGTCAAAGAAATCAAGGAATCGTTGAAAATGAAACACAAACCAAGACGTTTCGGGCCCATTTCGTGTCCCTTGACGTGACCATGGAACCCGTAAAGGGCCATATGTAAAAATCGCGGAAACATTAGAATTCGTTAAGAAATCGAGTTAACGCCAGCTATTTGTTAATGCACTGTTTAAATTCTACGTTTAAGTAGAACCGATAACAATAAAATGGCAACACAAACGTCAATGATGGAGGAGGCTGTTTGAGCACTTGAATAACGAAGCAATATCAACGATGAAGCATTTTTGAAGTTTAAATTGAACTCCCTAGAATGCAGACGTAAGCAATCTGAAATTGTCACACTTTACAAGATCATTAATTCCAAAATCAATGCCCCTAATCTTCCTTCGTTAATTAATTTTAATACAAACTACCGCCTCCGTAATCCTGTGACTTCCAAATTTTGTGTGTACACCAACAATACCTCATTTTATAAACCCCTCACCCGTGAGTACAATAACCTCGCTGCTGTCGATTCTGAGATTGACATCTTCGGTAGTCGCTATTACGCATTCGAAACGCCATTTGCGAAAGGTTTGGATGATGTTGTCGTGATTGTTGCTCGTATTATTACTGTCAATACCTATATAACAATGTTATCTATTCGATCATAACGATGTAAAATTTATCTTAAAATTAATATTAAGTATTTGTATGTATGTATTAAGATTAATAGTTAGGATTACGATTATTATTTTAAAGATTTCTGTTGTTCACTAGATGTTAATATTTATTAATTTAGTACTAACTTTGTATACATGTTTGTAAATGACTGTCTGAACTGCCCATGTAAATTTACATGCTGTAAAATTATTGACTTTAGCCTGTATTGTACAATTGCATAAATAAAATAAAATATTTACCTTACATAAAGAAGTATTTCAAATTGAAACTGCTCGTCAAAGAAGGTTCACAACCCGTAGCAGATTATGGCCTAAGTCCTCGCCTGAGAGGATATCCGTGTCCGGTAGTGGGATGTTGATGATGATGTGAAGGAAGTATTTATCTAATTATAGTTTATATGAGTTACAAATGCATGATTTTATTAAAAAATGTGCTGTAAAAACAGTTTCTCTTAATTAACTACCTCTTAAAAATTACATTTTATTAGAAAATTTCTATTAATTTGATATTAAATCCGAACCCAAAACCTAGAACCTGATTAGGTCCAAGTTTACGGGCAGGTTCGTTAATACTCACTTTCACATTGCACCAGTTCTAACTAGACCAAAACAAGTGGTTAAGTAACAATTATCAAAGTGAGTACGTGAACTGGACCACGCGATTAGGTTAGTCTATTTTAAATTCCGTCATAAATCAGATTAAAATCAGGTAACACATACATGGAACGCAAACTTATAAGTGATTATGGAGATATCCATTAATGTTAACAGACTTTTTTTAATATTGCCTATTGAGAAAATAATTGTATCATTAAATCAGAAAGTTTTAAGTAGCAATAGAGCTCCTTGTAGAAGAGTTCGTCCAGGTAAGTATTGCGACCTTACTTATTTCTGCTGCCAGGCAGTAATGTGAACAAAGTCAATGAATCATTTATTCCATGGGTAAAATAAATTTATACTTGAAAACGTCACATTTAAGCTACTGCTCGTTCACTACGCTGACCTCCCTGAGAAGAACGAGCAAGAAACGCTAGGGATTGCTCTTTTCAAATAAACTTAAATGCTATGCAATACACTTCGAATCAAATTTGCCCGGAATCTAGAGCCATGTCGTCTTTCCATACATATTTATCTAACACGTAGTCTTCAATTTTGTAATATGACTTCTCAATCAAAATATTTTTAATGTAGTATACCTTAGGAAATGATAATCTTAATATCCGGAATCTTATTGTAAAAACATATACAGTTCCCTATAAATGAGTCGTTTACTTTGGTTAAACAAAATCGTGGTAACATGAGTTTGACTTAGCTCTATAAGGTTAATATTATGGTTATCTTCTTTCTTATTGAAGTGATGTATATTTTTATTTGTATGTATGTATGAGCGCTTCTGCGTTCCAGAAGTGTAAAGGTACTGGTGAAATTACAGGCACGTGGTACTTATAAACTTACGTGTAAAGGTAGCGGGCGCAGTGTCAGTGCCTGGTCTTTGCGATTTAAAGTGATCATCTACATTATAATAGTTATTTTGACCACCGTAGAAAAGTAGCCAGCTTGTCTGTACACTTCAACACCCTACCATAACAACTTCCTTTGATCGACTAAAAGTACAAAACACTCTAACCTTGATATCGTTGTAATACCAATAAATGGCACAATGCGCTCTGCTTTCTCCTTTTTAATGCGTACTGCAAAGGAATGTAATGCACTATAAGCTATATTATATTCAAGAATAGTGGTAACAAGATTTTTTTTTCAAAACACGCGCTCCATCGTCGGTCACATCGTCGCTTAACATCTGATGAGACTATAGACAAGCGTGTATCTATTTCCCTATAAAATACAAGAAGGCAAACTAATCGACATCAGTGTTTAGCAAGTTCATACGTTCATAGAGAATTTATGTTTAATAATGCGATTTATAGTAATAATTGTTAATTCATAAATAAAAAGCTGTATCATTAGTAACTACAAATACAATTTCAAACGCATCGACAACTCAAACGCATCGACAACTAAATGAAAGTCACCCACCCCATCCCTACTCTGAATCTCAAAGGAAAACATTGTGTGCGAACATTTCCCCGCGCATGCGCTATCCATCCACCCGCACTAGCAGTGATGCGATCACCATGTCAAGCGACGGATCGCGAACCACTAACAGTTCTAGATTTAGTCAATTCGGGCTCTATAGAACTATAGATGCGAGAACTGAGGAGTTCTTACGGCTGTCCAGAAAAAGACAAATACGTCAAGGATGCGCGTGCGCCGCTGTATCTACAGCAATCACGGTTACAGTTGTAATAGTGAGTATTTTTGTGATGTGTTTGTGTTGGAGTTTGTGTTGTGCTGATTTCTGTGATGTTGTGTTTTGGTATTTTTTAAAGCTTCTATTAGTTGTAAGAAACGGTGGTGTTCTTTAAATGTGACTAAAATGGTAAACCTCTAGTATTTTGTGAGTTACTGACGTTATTTGGATTATATTTAGCGATATACTCCAATACTTAATCAAAATAACTTTTTACCGAATAGTTAACCGAAATTTGTTAGGGAAAACTACCCTTTCATTGATTTTGGATTTACATTTATATATACATGTATATATACTTAAATATAAATGTATATATACTTAAATAATAAATATTGCCACCGAAATTAGGTGTAAAATTTAACCTGAAAAATACACAAAGCTTTATTTCATACGTAAGCAAATTGCAATTGTAATCATCATATTCATTAAATACTATTACTCAAGCATAAGGTGTCCCAGAGAAAATAATTAAGAAACTCTAGGGATTGCTCTTTGAAAATAAACAATTGCACACATTTATCATTTACAATATTTATTTCAAATATCAGAGACAGAAATAACCTAAAAGAAAGAAACGCGTTACTACCACGCATTTTTCTTATTTCAATACGGAAGAACTGCATAATAATAAATAGTGCAAAGTTTTTCATTCTCTACAGTTTTGAACCACGTAAATGGCGAAATTTTAATATTACCAAAGGTTTTAAGTATCATTTTAACAATCAAATAAGAGACCACTTTGAAATTAGACTCAACCCGTTGAACTCTAATATAAGAATAACTACATATTTTATTTAAAAAAAGGAACCGACTTAAAACTTTACTTATATTTACAAACAAACTAAAACTAAAAAATTAACAATCGGTTACCGGAATGTACACGAAACGAGATTCATCCCCTAGTTTACCACCCTTAGAGGTTGAATGTTTTCTTTACATTTAAATGGAACCGATATCAAGGTGGAGAGCACCTCCGGCAAAAAAAAACATCAAATACTGGAGTAATCGCGTGTCCTCCTTCTTTTATTGAAGTCGGTTAAAAATTAGACTTAACCCGTTGAACCCTAACATGAGAGAAAGAAGAAATATGACAATGTTATAACACGGTGGACTTCCTTGACGTTACATAAATGGTTCACAAAACGACGCAAGAGTGAAGCGCCAATTACAAATGACGATACGGTATATTCCCTGCAAAAATACTTACATGAAAATCTAGTGTCATTAGCGATAGTAATGAGTAGATGCGTTTCTTTTCACAAAGTTAGTTTTAACGACGAGCTAAATGTTAAATTATACCTATTGTGTATCTCGCGTGGCAGTTAAAAAGAAACTTTGACATTGTGAAAATGGGTGCTTTAATCATTTAAAATGTTTTAGAGTTCCCTAACAGTAAAAAAAATACGATATAATAATAATGTGTGTAAAATTAAGAAGACTTTACCAATGAAAATATTATTAATTAAGCGTAAAATATGAATTGTTATAACTAAGCCACATGTGACCATCAAAAGTGCTTTTGTCAAAATCATAAAATTAATACGAACTGCATGAAATAATGTGTTGTGCCGCGATGGCAGTAGAGGCCGTAGGTTCAAATCCTAACCTCTGTGTTTCTCGGAATTTATGTGCGTAAATTTAATTTGGAATTTACCATGAGGTTTTCGGTGAAGGACAACATCGTGATGGAATCTGCACGTTGAAGAAAATTCACAACCCTCGGAAAATTTGTGAAGTCCCTAACCTGCTTTAGCTCGCTTGAGAGATCTGTACCCAACAGTCAGACGTATAAATAATAACAATAATAATAATAAATAGCCCCGCACTAGGGAAACCCTGTGTCGCAGGTGCCATGGATAAACACATAGATAACCACAAATTACACCCAAACTCACGAGATAAATAAATATAGGCCATACAAGGCCATACAAATATTTCTTCCGGCGCGTGAATCGAACCCGGGACCTCTGCATGGTAAACGTTAGGCCACGGAGGCAGTTAAAAGTAAAATGTAAAATGGGTTGATTTTGTGGTGATGTGAGATAAAACAAATTATGTAACCTCTTGAAAAATCTCTGCTCAAAAGATGCCATTTTACAGATAAGACTTTATTACAGCTAACGGTGCAAAATTACAATTATGATAGAATTCATTATATACTTCTTCTTTTGAGCTTTGAATTGTGCGAGCAACAACGGGCGGTGTTGTTGAGAGATCTGATATTTACCTTATATTTAGGTAGCTGTAAAGGTATCTAACCGGGTGACGAAATACTTTCATGGATTTCTCATAGATGGCGCCACGGCTAAAAAGTCGTTAGAAACCAAATACAAAGATCAACAAGCACATAGAAGAATTCGTTAGGTCCGCTGGTTCGTTCCTTGGCTTAGTTGGTATAGCGTGCCACGGTTTGCTACGAAATGGCGGTTCGAATCCTGCCGGATCGAAGGAATTTTTTCGATCTTTGTATTAATAATTAAAGTAATTTTTATCAAAAAATAAAGGAATCGAATTCAAACTGCACACTGAAAAGTTAACAATCGGTTACCGGAAAGTGCGCGAGACCGGATTTATCAATCGGATCAACAGGATTTGCCATCGTTAGAGATGGAATGTTTTCTTCAAATTTAAATGAGACCAATCTTTTTTATATGAATAATAAGCGCCTATTCCACCTCCATATTACCTAATGGAAAGTGACGATGAGATCGACGACGTAACATGCACGTCTATATACTACCTATTCACTCTTTAAATGAAAAGGCCCTATTATAACATCAAGGGAACTAGTCTCCACAATCCGTTGTAAAAACTAGTTTGACACGTTAGTATTCAAAATATATGATACATAGAAAATACGTTGATTAGAAAAAATTACCTTTTCACATAATTTTAATGATTGATTTGCATTTTGATCTCTAGCCGTGAAGTTTACAGGTTCATTCCCGGTAGATATACTTTTTATTACATCAAGTGTCGGGATGAACAAGTCGTGCGCCTCGTAGTAAGCGACACGCGTATCCACAACAGCTGCAGTGTCACTCACAGTTTTGAATCGCCGAAATCTGAGAGGCTCTGTCACTACGCCCGCCACCTTGAAACATGAGATGACAATGACCATGTGCTTATAGTTTCAAAAACCGGAACGCGGTAATGTATACATTACTGCTTGGCGGCAGAAATATGTAAGGTGGCAGTACTTCCCTGGACAAACTCTTTCACAAGAAGCTCTGCTGCTACTTAGGATCGATTTCAAGAAATGAACTTGTAAATTGGTTCTGGTGTTGGAGTTCTGGGTAGTCAATTACGAGTACATTGCTCTGGTATTCGCAATACAGGTCATTCTCTGGTTTGAGATTGAATAATTGGACATAGTTATGCAAACAAGAACCAACCCACACCTCGAGTGAAATTGAGTTATGTATTTAGGGTAGAATACCACACATGCCTTTTACCTGTTCACAAAAGATCCTGGCAATATACCAAGTCAAAAGGGAGAAAATAAAATTGTCCCAATCATGTCACAACAAAATAGTAACAGAAAACAATGGGATTTAAAAGTTATTTACTATTATCTGCCTACCTTAAGAACCTAAACCTTTTTGAAATAAAAAACCAACTCATAAAACAGTTTTTTTTTTTTGCAATAAAGAACAACAGGTTTTTGATCTAAAAAAATATCTAAATTAAAGAAAAATCAATATAAATCAGCTTCTCTATAAATTTCTCAATGCTACACATAACTCTGTTAAGCAATTTGTCTCAAATAACTTACCTATTTAATTCTTCACACTGTTTATATAAACTTCTGATTATCTCGAAAGTGACATTTCGTGGATTGGTTCTAGTTTGCATAAGTACGTCCAATTATAGAATAGCACAGAATATAGAATGATTTATTTGAGACAATGATCCATGGTTACATTAGTAATACAGTAAATTTTTTCTTGTGTGTTGTGTTGTACTAACTACAATACAAAATGACTTAATGCTAGAGAAAATACCACGCCTGGACTACTACCCTACGCACGTAGTCCACAGTCCAGCCTGTGGGCAACAATGGTTATGACGCTATTACCGTAGCCGCGTACACGCATCATGAGTGAGACAGCCCTCTTGCGAATAATGGCATGAAAGCCATCTGCACTGCAGCCCCATTAGCATCCTGAAAACGTTCTTATATTGCACCCTTAATGTATTGTGTATGTGGTTCTCTGTGTATACTTCACCCATAGGCTGCTCGTGTCAAAGTTTTGACAATATGGTTTAAATATATAAATTTACCTCTCGCAGCATCCTGGTACGTTTAATACTTGGAAAAATTTGCACAACCCTAGTTAAGATTGCCTCCGTGGCCGAACGGTTACCATGCCGGACTGCCACGCAGAGGTCCCAGGTTCGATTCTCGGGCAGGTAGAAATAGTTGTATGGCATACAATTATTTCTCTCGCGAGTTTGGGTGTAAGTTGTGGTTGTCTATGCGTGTGTCCATGGCACCCGCGACACAGGGTTTCCCTAGTGCGGGGCTATGTTGAGTGTGTGCGTTATTTATTTAAAAAAAAAAAAAAATTTAAGATAGACAGTGAGTCTTAAATTTAAAAGAGAATTGTTAGTATGAAAGCTTTAATAAGTCATACACATACTTCTTTATTAGTTATACGAACATTGATTGATATATGAGTAGGTAATTAATATTGTGTAAATGAAAACACGAACCTGTTATTGATAAGATGATAAATGTTGTAAGTGAATGTATGATCGTAAGCGCATGCGAAAAAATGCATTATTTGAGTCATGATATTGTTATTTTTTGTTTGCTGTTTTTGTCGCCCCGCGCATAAACACTGTGCGGTGCCGACACAGCCACAGCCAATGTACAGAGCAGCGACAAAAAACTAATTTTCACTTACATTGCCTTCCTATAGCGAATTCCATCACGCGTCCGTAAGTTGGCATAATTTACTAAGTATGGCCATAAAGTTTTACGACCGTTCT